GTACCAAAATATAACATACATAGATATAAAAAACATCTTGAACTGCAGGTGGGGGAGTTCAAAAGGTCAGTTTATGTAGCCAAAGCAGGAGCTCCTTCAATCATTTTTAGCACTGAGGCATGTTAACAGTTGTTTTGAGAGCAACATGACTGTGTTAAAAACCCCTTGTTATGTCCACAGACCACAGCCAGGTCATTCTGTACCTTTATGTTGTACTCCCAAAGCATCCTCAAGAAGTCCAGCACTGTGTGGGGCAGAGGACCCTGAGTAGCAATGTATGCCCTTGAGCCCGACACTCCCTGTAGACAAAACACAGCATATCGTCAAGAATTTGTAGTAACAGTTACATAAACCATCTTAGTTACATAAATGTACAGTACAGTATAATGCACATGCATTTCATATGAATAAAAGATATATATTCTCTTTACAGGGACACTTGATTTACCTTGATGAAACTAGCGTTGATGTAGTCTGTGTCATTTTTAACTGTGGTGAGAGTGAGCTTTACTCTGCTGTGGTCAACTAAAAGGAGAGAAATATATAGTTATAATGAATGTCACGCACAGGACTCAGGAGTCATTTCCTGTGCTTCACAACCTTTTGGCAAAATAAAGATTAGAAAAATAGAAAAATAGGATTTAGTAGGTGTAGTATTTTCTTGATACTAGAAGGGCATATTCTTTATTGCCCAATGTTGAATATTTGAAAATGTAGTTAAACAGAAATCAAATATGTGATCTCCAAGATAATAAGTCACACCTAACTCAGTGGAACGTTTTTTGTCATGGATACCACTTTTTATCATTTCAGGTTATCATACAGATAACTGCATCTAAAAGTCATCCAACCCATGATTCACCCCTGATAAACGCATGATTCTTTCATTCATTTTTAGCATTAATGTAGCAGAGGTCTGAATATATGGAAATCAAAAAGTCATAGGTTCATAGTGATATCTTATGTGACACCTGTCTGCCCTGGTGCAGAATTATATTTAAAATCATGTGCAAATGTATAAATGAAGCCACATTTTCACAAATCAGCCTTGGGCAAAGCTTACAGGGAACAATGTCCTTGTATCTGTTCTTCTTGATGTTTTCCTGCTTTTCTGCTGTCTTGGAGGGGTAGGTCTTGTCAGTACGGTACCTGGTTGACTGGCTCTTCAACCTCTGAAAAACATGAGGGAAATTGAATCCAATTACACAGCCAGTTGAAGCCAGTTAGATAGTTATACCATACAAAGGAACAAGCTTTTGAGACCAACTCTACACAAGTAAAGTTTCTTTTATTGTGTATGTGTGTGTGTGTGTGTGTGTGTGTGTGTGTGTGTGTGTGTGGTGTGTGGTGTGTGGGCGGGCGGGCGGGTGGGTGGTGGGTGAAATACTACCTTCATGAAGGTTAATGTCGGAAAGGTTAATGCCTCTCTCTTTCTTTCTTTCTTTCTTTCTTTCTTTCTTTCTTTCTTTCTTTCTTTCTTTCTTTCTTTCTCTCTCTCAATTTTTAATTAGTATAAACCTGTGGAACATTTGTATTGTCAAAACTATTTTTGGAGTCTTACAGTGTAATGGTTGGTCTGTGATGGTTGGTGATTATATGTCTGATACTGCTGTCTTGAGTTAAGGAGCGCCTTACGGGTCTATTCCTGGTCCTATTTTATTCTCTATTTATATGCTGCTGTTGTTTTAATTTGTTGTTTTGATATAGCTTTTCAATTTTTTGGATTGCTGGTGCCATTCAGCGTCATGTCTTAAAACTTCCTCAATTTAAATGAAGATAAAACAGAGCTACTTAGCCTCAGAGAGTTCTCAGAAGACTCTGCAATTGTCTCTTTATCAAACATTATTTAGGTATCCCGTTTGACTTTTGTCACATTTTACTTCTCTGTTGACATTTAAAAAAACCTGTTGAAGATCAGGCAGACATATTTGATATATATACATACTATATGCTGTGATAACTTCTACCGCCTCAGCCAAGGAGCTATAGCTCATCTGCAGTTGGTCCAAAATGCTGCATTCTAACAATGTGCTGGGAGTACATTACTCCAGTGTTGGCCTTTCTCTATTGGCTGTCAGTAGACTTATGAATTCAGTGTAAAATTTTGGTTATCACCTATGAAGTTCTGCATGGTAAAGTCTCTGAATTCATTCCTGAATTGCTGTGTCCATGTAGAAACAGCTAGTGTTCCGAGAGCTCGACTTGAGATGAAGAGAGACAGAGCATTCGCAGTCCAGTGAAAAAACTTTTCAAACTCAGTTATACTCCCTCGCTTTTTTAAACTGACGTTTGCTATTTAGTTAAATTAATGTTTCTATTTCTGTTTGTATACTCTAACATGGCTTTTAATGCTTTTAATGTCAAGTGCCATATAAAGGCGTAGAAGACGAAGAAGTCTTACTCATGTACAGGAGAGTCAGGGGAAAAGAGGGGGCAAACGGCAGGCAAATTACATGTGAACAATTGCACAATGGTCACACATGGTCAGTTTTTATGTGATTCAACCCTTGATGACCAGAATCTGTGACTCATTTTACAAGAAACTGGCATGATGGCTCACAAACTGAGAGGATTTCCATCCACAATTTACTGTGTGGAAGGTTTGACACTCAAACCCATGGCACGTCCATGTGAGACACTAGTCTTTTTGTTCTGAGGCTATTTCTCGCAGTTTGAAACAGTCTGTTAAAGGCCTTGCAGACCATCTGCGCAGCTAACACCACAGAGTGCTTTTTGTTCTTAAAGGAAGTGATGCAAGAGACCCCTTCCTCTGGAGTGGTCTGGGTGGTAGCAGCATGACTACCACCCCGACAGCATGAGCTGTCCTCAGGCACTGGCATGTCACTCATCACCATGGCAGCAGCCCACAGTTGCTTGTATGTGAATGTACATGAATTGTACACGAACTCATAAATAAATTGAACATATCACGCTGTTAGGTGTTATATTGTAGTTGCCTATGGGCCTTACTTGTTATGCGCGTTTCATAACAAGCATCAGTGCAAAGAGGAAGCACAATGTGGTGTTCGAGCTGTTTATACAAGAGCAGTGTGTAACTTCCCCCGAAACACCATGTCTTTTGTGAAATTTTGGGGCTTTCACTCTTACTGTGCTTACTGTCAATTCACTCAGGATAAACAACATAGCCATTCTGACAGGGTTTCTGAGGATGTGATAATGAAAGTCATAGGTGAAATAAGTCTGCTGCGTGGATGCTTCAAGGTTTCATCTACAATACTACTCACAGCAGTACTTTAACAAGGGAAACATAAATCTTAACTCACAGCAAACTCCCCAAGAATGCCGTTCGGTGCCCCCTCATCCACAGCCTCCTGTCTCTCCAGCTGGTCCAGGAAGCTCCTCAATATCCAGGCCTGCTGCTCCATGGCTGGCTGTACACTGCCTGGGATAGGGCACCTTTCACAGGCATGTCAGGACACAAAGGTCCTCGTCCACAGGTCATGGAGTAGGGTCACCAAAGTTTGGGTTCAGGGCTGTGGCACCTCTGCTGTTGCTTCACAGAGCACTTCTCTGTTGCGTCTGTCACATCAAGGAACTATAGTGAGGGAACTATGCAAACTGTCTTAGAGGAAGCAAGAGTAAGCTAACAGGTTCTGTGGTCAGATTAAAAATTTTCACCCCACCCCCCTTGGTGTCTCTCACTGGGTCCTAAAGTCACTCGGGTGTTTCATTGCATGACAGTGTCACAGAAGAAATGGGTGGGAAACACCCACAAACAGAGCGGGCCAGACAATTATGCACAGACACAAGGCATGAACAGCTGTTGCTACCCAAAGTCAGAGTGCGATGCAGGCTGTCTCGCCTGTTGGACAACATTCAGGACACACTAGAGGAGTGGAGGAGGGATGTGGTTAGGGATGGAGGTAGAGGCAGAAGGAGTGGTGTAGTGAATGGGAGTCTGAGAATCCTGAAAAGCCTGATGTTGTGAGCAAGCAATTAGACCCACTCAACTCTACAGGTTTTCATTTACGCCTATGTATATCCACAGGAGCCATTTATTTTGGTAAACCACCTCACAGTATTTGAGATGAAACACTAGGATGACACTCTGCCATTCCTCGTACAACTCAGATGTATCATTGTTGTTTAGTAGGCAGTCCAGTTTCTAATTTCACCACAAGCTTTGAAGAGCAATGGGAGGAGCACTGTTTCAAGGCACAATGGGCTTTGAGCCACGCGTATGAGACTTCCTATTATTATATATATAGCCAAGATAATGTAAGTTAAATATGAATAAAAATGATAAAACATACATGTATAAGAATATTCCATATTGCTAAGTATAAAGATATAAAGATGTAAATACCGGTATTTCAAAATGATAAGGAAAACATAGTGAAAAAACGCTCACCAGTTTAGCTGCCGTGCAGTTCATCGGTCTCACATGTTACACATGAGGTGACAGATATGACGTGATGGAGATATATGTTGACAGTGCATTGCACTGCTTCAGCAGGTGCACACTATCTGTTGTATGGCGACATCTAGTGGTTAAACACAAAAAGGTATTCTTACATGGCCCTGAGTGGTTCCGTTTTCCGAGTAAATCAAAAACATCACTGGCTGGCATTAAGTCTGATACTGCAAATAGTGACACAATCTGACTGTCTAAGTGAATTAATGAAATGATGTTCTCAAAGGTGGAAAAACAAGTCAAACTAAGGCTTGTTGCCATGGTGAAAATGCAGTTTCCTCTGTTATAAAACCAAATCTCTACATATTTGAAGGGGCTTCTACAAAAGACACATGTACTTGTGAATGATCAAATTTTTTAAATCAGGGTACATAATAACAAGCAAATATATTAGTTAACAAATGTGGTAAGAAATCATTTACCTGAAATAAATGTGGCTTACTTGTGCAGTGTTCACTTTGTTTAGGACATTGCAACAATGCACCTGACAGGAAGCTACAATAACCACAGTCCACCTCTAGCATTTCCTGAGTCTTTAATATAGTTTCACACTTCAACATGAACATGAAAATACTGTGTCTGATTTTGCTTTTGCATGGTGAGTGAACTATAATTTACATCTTCCATCAATAATAATCTTTTTATTTATCATAAAACTTCTAAAAAGGAAAAAAAGAGAAGAAAAATTATAATGTCTATATAAGGGACCATTTATAGCAAACGTTTGTGTCAATAACATGTAATACTTCAATCATATGTTAGCATCAGTAATATTCTTTTTCTCCAGTTACACGGCAGTAATGATAATATTATATTTGAACACACGTACTGTAGTGAATCAGTGTTTGGTTTGATGTAAGCATATGAATTTTGGAAATGTTTATGTGAGCAAATTTTCTATTCTGACATCACCGTTGTTTCTTTATTTGTGAAAATTACAATTCATCAAAGAAAATGTTTTAACAAACATTTTTTTCACATTTTCTTCCTCTGCCTGTCTTTTAGCAAGTCTCCAGCTCCAGTGTAATAATAGAGAGATTACAGCACATATTGGAGGTGACTTCATTCTTAACTGCAAATATGACACAAACCGATTCAGGTACAGTAAAAAGTACTGGTGCCGAGGAGACAACAAAAACACCTGTGAGATTCTGGTGGACTCAGAACTCGTTGCTAAAACCAGACAGAGGTTTCAAATAATAGACGCAGCAAAAAGAGGGCTGTTTGTCAAAGTCACAAACCTCCAATTTGGTGACACTGGAGTGTACTGGGTTGGGATTGACAAAGTGTATGCCGACATCATGACTATGATTAATATTCATATCACTGAAGGTAAGAAAAAAACCTTTTAAATGATTAGTCTGGAAAATGTATATTACTGTCACAGTATCACTGATATTTATGGACTATGTTTCAAAATTTATTCTTTGACGCTGTCAAGCCAAATGGATTTAAATAGTTTGTTTGCTTCTTTGCTCCAGTTCCAGTATCTAAACCCAGACTTTGGCCCCTGAGCTCTCTGGTGGCCATGCCAACATGCAGGGGGCAGCCAGTGACTGTGCGCTGTGGTTGTACAAAGGGCACTGGCATTCGTTATGCCTGGTATCAACGCACTCACCACGAGGACTTACGTCTTGGCCTGTCATCAGACTTGCACCTACACTGCGGCAATGTGGAGAAGGACAGTGATTATTACTGTATTGGCAGTAATGACATAAGTAGACAGGAGAGCGAGATCCTCTCTGTGCAGGTTCTGATGCCTGCAGACAGCAGCTGCATCTATGTTGTTAATATGCAGGGTAAGAATTGATGGGATGTTGTATTCTCTTTTATAAATATCCAGGCAATAACTGGTAAGTCTTTCCATAAGGTCTGTGTGTGTTATGATGTTTTATTGATACCTTCAAAATGCATCATAACACAGCAATTATACAACAGGTCCTAATGGACACTGCAGGTAAACATTTTAAGATTTGAATACCTCTCCAGATATAGTCTTAAAATCACTTATATTTGCTTTGTTTGCTTTGCCTGCGTTATGCAAGAAAGTGCATGAACACCAAGGTTTCTCTGTTACCACTACGGATGGTGAGTGTGGTTATGGCATGTCATGAACAGCAGTGTTTTTGACAGTTTGCTGTGGGTGTCAAGTTAAGTAAATTTGTACTTACATGAATAAGTGCTTATAGGTGCTTTGATGCAGTCCTTATAGAGATAGTGTGAACAATCTTTTTTTTTTTATAACACCTGTGTCAGTATGAATTATTTTTCCTTCAAGAGACATTGTGATCAGCTTTTTACAAGTTTTATTGTAGAGTTATAAAGGTCAGGGTTAAACACCACAACCTACCTTTATACCTTCAATTTGGCTGTAGAAGGCTTTATACAGGGTGAGCGGAGGATAGAATTGAACAAGTCGTTAAGCCAAAAGAGGTCTCTTTATTCACTGGCACTTGTGTCACTTATGGGTTATCAAAAAAATGTGATGTCTGTGTGTCATTGGTATATGAACATTTTCCAGTTAGTTTTTGCTGTGGCTCTTTCTTCTGTGCCAGCGCAATTGTAGAATTTCCTTTTTTTCTCAAGATTCTGATGTCAGTATCAACACATCTTTGACTACTTCCTTCCCCATTACACCCATAACTTCACTTGCTGCTTAAAATATACTGTCATGACAAGATGATGGAAAAACTTAGGCAACTATAATCACATTTTCCATCTATTAGTTGCAGAAAAGACCTTAATCATTGATATACTTCATCATTATGAGTATTGTTTGTTGTTTTTAAGTATATATTTTATATAGGCTACTGGATTAAAGTCCATGTGTGTCAGAGTTTACTTTGACAACCCCTAGTGGTCATACTTCAAAAAGACACTCTGGGAAACAGCATTACATGCCAGCTTTTTCCCAGTCAGCCTCACAGATGTGACACAGGACACACACACTTATCTCATTTTACTTCTAACTAGATATCATGCCATCAGTTTATATATATTTCAAATATCAAGCATTCTAAATTCTAATCTTCAGGTTGGAATATATAACACATTATAAACATTTACTTTATAGAATGTGCTGATTTTTTTAAAGGTTGTTCTAATATATGTATTTCACAAGGTACAAGCTCATGAAAGAATGGCATTTGAATTGCTTTCTTTGTAATCATCAGGCCAACCCATTTATGACTGTGCTGACGGAAAGAGCACCACCGTGTCCCAAACTCCACCTCTGACCACTTGCCAAGCCACCACCAAAATCCACACTGTCACAGGAAACCAGTCTTTACAGATCAATCAAACTCATCAAAATCTGTTTTTAAACAGGTTAGGCTACACAAAATTTTCTCAATTACCTTGATTGAAATAATAGCGAGAGCTGAAAGGAGACCCATTCATAGATTTATCTATTTAAGTATTACCTTAAAACTTGTCACTAATCAATCCTTTATTTTCTCAGGGCATGGACAGGGGTGCCACTCTGGTATGCACTGCTACGTTGGGGTTCTTTTGCTTCCTTGTTGATATATCTGTGCCTAGTTCTTAAATGTACAAAAACAAGACATTAGAAAACATGTCAAGAGGAAGAGTAAAGTTCATTTCAAGCGAATGCCCAATTTGGCTCAGTGAGCTTCATTTTAGAGTGGTAGTTCTGTGAAAGTCATATCAGCCTCTGTGGCATTTGTTTTGTGGTTTTATTGTCTAGGTCATAATGAGTGTCAGCATGTTTATCATAGGTGTCTTATTGCAGCATTTATCAATACAGCTTTCTTGCAAATGCCACTAACAAAACATGCAAATCATCTCAGCCCCTTCTTCACTAGGCTTTCCATCTCGTTTATTTTAAAATATGAAAAAAAAAGAAAGATCTGTCCCCACATGTTTGAAACCTGTATAGTGAACATTTTAATGGCAGCAGGGAATTATGACAACAGAAGTACTGATAAAAATGGAAAGCAGGCATTGTTCTGTGTTTATTTGTCTTTCCATTCTTTAGTCATACAATAGGAAATTATCAAGCAAGGGAGGTCCTGAAGCACGAAGTCTTTCAGAAGAAAACCAAACCCACAAACCATGAACAACGCAGCCCTTATCTTGATCATGTTCAAACCAACTAGATCTTGATGAAATAAATGCTGTGGTACTGATTTCTAGTATGTTGGCTGTACATGAGTGTGATTTGTGTGTGTGTGTGTGTGTGTGTGTCTATTCAACCACACACACACACACCCACACACACACACCTATACATATACAAATACATATATTTCTCCATTTCTTCCCAGTTGCTGGCATATATTTATGTTTGTACTTGTGGCATTAGCTCACCTGTAGTGGAATAGTGAATGTTTATTTTCTTTGTAAAGCTGATCTTTGTTCCATTGTTGTAGTTTCTATTTAGTGGGTGTAAACCAATTACAGGCACAGGTAGGGCATGGAAATATGATGATGAGTGATGCAAGCCTAACATGAACAAGGATGGTTTCTTCAGATTATGAGGTAATTCAAATACCTCACCCACATACTGGTAACTAATCTCTTTTATAAACAATGAATCAGTGGTAGGCTGTTTCATGGGGAGGAAATATATTGTAGTCTTAGTTATAAGACCAGTTGATAAAAATGTCAAAGGTCGACAGGACTATATAACAGCTCCCAGAAAGTATTAAGTGTTAAGTTATAATGAGTTTAAATGTCAAAATATTTAAAAAATAAAATAAAATAAAACTTTGTATTCCAAAAATGATTCCAACTAAGAAGTGAAATAAAAGGGGAAAAAAATTCCCATGGCTTTTACCATTGTACATTTGGTACTATGGTTTCGACTGTTTTTTTAGTAAAATAATCAGAGAGGATCGTTTTTTTACAAATACCTTTAACTTTTTGCTCAGTAGGAAATGCATCACTTCCATGTTTTGACCCTGCCTGGGTTGGGCCTTTTACATCACTCTCTGTGAATGCTTTGTCTCCATTGTTACCACGGAAATTATGGCAAACGACTGGCCACCAGAAAACAGACAGAGTACACTGTAAAAAGAAATACTCTATATGAGTATTTCTTTTTACAGTTTGTACAATTGCAACAGAAACACATAGGCCTATAACCACACCACAATACACAGATAGCATAAATACATGACATTCACATCAGTCATAACCATGGTTCATGGTTCATGGTTCAAACGAGGTCACATTTTACGGAATAGTCTTCACATTAACTTTAAAGGTAACAAAAAATGATGTTTACACCTTCTGCTTGTCCCCTTGGATTTTATTTACGTTTAGGTCTAATGCTGTGTACTGACAACATACTGACCCAACAGCTCTAAGTAGGTGGGGGGGCAAAAAAGCAAAAAAGGCAGCAATATATACCAAAGGTTTTTGAGAACCTACATACGGTTTCTTAAATCAAGATCCGTGTGCTCTCCTTTCGTCTACATTCAAGTTCCATGGGTTTAGATGGTTACTTAACATGCGATTCCTTTGGACAGATCTGCGTCACCGTTTCTATTTCCCACTTTCCAGAGAAATGGAACGCACCGTAAGGCCACGCCCGCTTCCGACAATAAGTAGCAGCGGTCAAAAAGCAGTTTCACCATTTTGAAAACGGCAGCTGCAATTGTGATTCTTTACGTTTTATTAGGTAAGTTATAATGCTTAAACAAACCGCAGTAACAAAACTAACCGAAAACAGAACGGTGATACCACGCTAACGCGACTCAATCAATGTGTCACTTTCGTTTGTTGATGTTACGTGGGTTGATTGACTAGATCGCATGTATATTCTTGACTTTAATAATGTATTGATTATCAGAGAATTACGACACTAGGTAGAACACAGTTTAATACATTCCCACCACCCCAAGCACCTACTGGTAATTTCGGCATAGATCTTATTCAGATTGTTAAGATAAATCAAGAACTACACCGTTAGCTTTACTGAGACGCGTTACCGCCCCGTGTTTTCTTAGGAAGGAAGACAGAGGCAGCAACACGCATGACATGCTAGTTTTAAGGGCCGACATTTGACTGCTTCATCTGAATTTTTGTATTTTACTTTTTATAAACTTGTACCGAATATCCAGGTCGAAACGGTCGTTACAGACAAGTTGTAAAGTAGCTCGGGAAGATTAGCTGTATAAGCAGTGACACGTTAGCTAGCTAATATCGACATATCTTGAATGGTGTTTGGCTAAATGTTTTCTGATCTACGTGACAAAGGACCATGACAAGGCTAAGCGCATATACCTCCAAAGGTTAGCCAGTGACCAGTTTACAACTAAATATTTGTTATCATTTCTGATATTGGTCATTTTAACCTGAACTGACGTAATGTCGATGATTTAGTAACTGTTACCGATATCTGTTAACGTTTGCTCGATATCTGTAATTCAAGAGCCAGCCTTGTTTGGTTTGAATCATCGCTAAGTTAATACTTAATTTTTTGTACTTTACGTTTTTCTTTACCAGAGAGAGAGAAGTGACTTGTTGACCGATTCCGTGATGGGTGTCACTCACTTCCTTCTACTGAGCACTCTTTGTCTTGCCATTACTGCTCAAGGTGAGTGGCAGTGCGGATAAGCTTATTGTGTTTATAAATGTGATTAGCTACACAAGCTGGTGTTAGGTCTTAAGTTAACGTTCTTTCTCTTTCATTCTACCTCAAGACTGTGGCAAACCTCAGCCAGAAGCCAACATGCATTTGAGGGGAGATAACATTCTTCTAGAAACATTCCCGAATGGGGCTTCAGTTTCTTTTGCCTGTGATGTTGGTTACATGTCTTCACGAGGGTCTCCAACGATTGTTTGTACCGATGGCACATGGAGTACCATTGCGCTCATTTGCCGAAGTGAATATTAGCATTTGATTTTTACATTCACATGTCTAATGGCAGCAATCATTCACTGCCAGTTTTGACAATACTCTCAAAAATCTCATACCAACATAGAAATGAGTGACTGGTATTATCCAGTTTGTCAAGTCATTTGTGAGTATTTTCATCCAATACATTTTGAGGGAGGAATTCAATCCTTATGAGCTTTCTCTTTTTTTCAGAGAGGAACTGTGGCGCTACTGATGAGATTGTCAATGGAGACGTTGAATACCCTGAAGGGACTGAGTTCGGCGCTTTACTCAAGGTTGTCTGCAACACTGGGTTAGTAATAAACCAATTACTAATGGTTTATGTTCAGTTAGTTTTTAAAATACAGTTGTGAGTAGCGTATTTTCATTTAAAAATGTCTGCACCCATTATATTTCCCAGTCAAAAATCAACTTATTCCAGTTGAAGTGGGTGTTCAGTTCGACTTGCTTGTTTTTTAGTGTTGTCATGTGAAATGTAAGTGCAAAATGCAGCTCCTTCTTAAAATTTGATGATGTCTTATTTTTCCCCTTAATTAGTTTCCAGCCAGTTGGTGGCAGTAAGGAAATCCGTTGTGAAGCACAGGGGTGGACTGGCAGGTTGCCTTCATGTGAAGGTTGGTAATCTTAATGTGTTATGCAAGGCACATGACTAACAACAGAAACTGTACATATGACTTTCAAAAATTTTTAAAGAAAGCCTGTTTCCATTCTAATGGATGTCATTTGTACTTTGCAGCGGTGGTTTGTGAACCACCACCTGCGGTGGTGGGTGGCAGATTCAATCCAGTGAAAGATATGTATTCTTATAGAGATGCTATAACATACAGTTGTCAGAAAGATTACACACTCGTGGGACAAAATATCATATCATGTTCAGACAAAGGAATATTAACGCCAGACCCTCCACAATGTGTCAGTAAGTGGGTTTAAATGTGTTTTTATCCCCATCTTTCTCAACGTTTTCCAGTGTAATCTCAATTATGACTGATTCTCTCACCTACTGTGGAGTAGGTTATTTTGAACATCTGTATTAATTTCCAGTTTCTTTTCCAGCAACCGTTTATTGTGAGGAGCCTGATATTAAAAATGCTGTTTGGAGTGGGGGTGCTCGACCCCCTTATAAATACAAATCTTTGGTGATCTACAAGTGCAACAGAGGATTCATCATGGAAGGAGAAGGCAGCCTGACATGTCAAATAGATGGTAAATGGTCACCTGCATTTCCAACATGTAAAGGTAAGTCATAGATGAAGACTACCACTTTACATAGGTCTGCAAAGACAATTTAACCTTTTTTGTTTGAATGTGATATTATACTAATTTCAATACATTCTTACAAGTGGTTAGCTCAATCTGATGATGTTTTTTGCACGGGGTTTTAAAATAAGTAAGGAAGTTGTTAGAACACCACCATTATAAAAATGGTTTCCACCGATTTTTTTTTTTTTTTCACGCTGACTCAAAAGTCTTTTATTCATATTATGAAATAACTACTGATACAATTTAAAACTCCTTGATAATTCCATGAAGTACATTTGAAAGTATTCTCCCATAATCCTCTTTTGGCCAAATCAATTTCACAAGCTCATAAAGAAATGTTGACTTAAGTATAAAGAGAAGATTTGAAGTAGCATTCAGTTATGGACTCAGTCATTTCCACAAGGCTTCAGTGCATAAAAAATCTCTCACAGTTAGATGTATAATTCTGTGCATGTTAAGATGTAGCATAATGACAACTTCTTAAAAAAAAAAAAAAAAAAAGTTTAGGATGTATCATAGCACCGTCAGGAGAATACTGGCTACAGTTTGTTCATGGGAACAAGTTTTAGAAAGGCAATGAGGGCCCAGTCACATAATAACAAGTTTAACACATAACAAATTTGAGCTAGTTTCTACAGCCTCTTAATTATGAATCAATAGATTGCAGTAATTTAAGTGAACTACTGCATGAGCGTGATTTTGACACATTCATGATGTCAGTATCACCATCCTGATTCCTCCTTTTCATGTTTTTTCCAGTCATTCCAACCACAACTAAAGCTACTACTACCACTACTACCACCGCATCCACCACCGCTTCCACCACTACCACCGCTTCCACCGCTACCACCACTAGACCCACCACTCAATCAAAGAAACCAACAGGTAGAATCCATGTTAATGCATAACCACCAGTCCTATAGTGTGCCTGATGAAATTGTGAAATTTGATTGGGCCAAAAAAGCCTTTTTGGGGTGACAGTTGTCGATCCTAGTGATGCTATGTTACAAGTATAAACAAGCCTTCATTTTCTGCTCATATTACTTGCTGTCTGGTAAAACAGGCCTGAGTGATATGACGATGGGTGATATGTCAGAGCTGTTTACAATGACATGAACAGTTGAACACCACTACTGGATTTTTATGATTTTTCTGCATGAATGTAATGAATTATTTAACTGTACCTTGCTTTGTATCTATTGAACTCACTGGATTAGCCGAAATGGACATCTGTTTTCTCTAAACATTGTTCCTTTTTAAAATGGCACTATACCAGATGGATTTTTGTCCATATTTCTCACCCCTAATTTATAATCATTTTATGATTTGCTTCATGAGCAACCGTGATGCGTTTGTGCATATGTTTGTAGTTGGCCAAAGTTTAGTAAAGTTAATTTTTTATATATTCCAGTTTTGACCTTTGCAGGAGGTTGTAACTTGCAGTGTAACGCAATCCAGTTGGCTAAAGGGTCATTCCAACTCAGAATTCAGAACTTTTTCCCCAGTTAATATCATGGATTTTCTAAAAATAAATTATTTGAAAACTTCAATTAAATTGACGAGACCTTGCAAAATCCTATAGCTCTACCCCAAATCCTTTTTTTATTACTTTTTAGCGATTTCATTTTTCTAATTTGTGTGTATTCTTCTAAGCCTCATATGTTGCCTATTTTTCACTGGATTGGCTTGAAATTTGTACTAAACATCCAAAAACCCTACAAGTTTCTCAAAATACTGTGTGTGTAAAGCAAACCCTGTTGTAGTCCAGTCACACACGTCATTAACAGCAGCTCCAACACACTATAGCCATTGCTAAACACCATAATGCCCTTAACCTCAATAACAGCCTTAGTTGTTATGTCTGTGTAAGATACAGTACACAGATTATTATGCCTCCACGCCAGCGACAGCCAGAGCCGAGGTGTATTTTTTTCAGGTTGTGAAAAATTTGGCACAAACATTCACTTGGGCTGAAGGATGAACTGATTAGATTTTGCTGGCTAAAGGTCAAAGTCATGGTGAACTAAGAAACACTGGCGAAACACTTCTTAGCCATTACTCAAGACTTCACACAGACATTATGCCAAAATTTCACACAAACGGTTAATATTTTATATGACTGGACGAACAGGGATGTAACCTGAAACTAGTCTGAGTGGCAGAGGCATGCAACCGCGAGGCAGTAATTCCAGTATTTCTTCTGTACTTCTGTTTCAGATCGTCTTCATCCAACTGACAAACCTACACCCACTGGTAAGTCATCAAAAATAATGTGTTGTATTGGATAAGTTTCTGTCCTCTTCTCTGTCCTCACCTTTTTCTTTTGTTTTCTTTTTTACAGGCAATGGAAGTAACACACACACGGTGGGGATTGTAGTTGGAGTTTTAGTGGCAGGTAAGTTTCAACTTTCATTGAACAGTAGATCAAAAATGTGACGAGATAATGTTGGCCCAAAATAAGATCACGATGTCCTCAGAAGCATGGTTATATAACAGCACACTGAGAGGGCATCATGTTCTTACTTGGATCAACAAATAAGAACAAATTGACACGTTCAGCCATTAGAATATACTTGTGCAGTCATGGCTGGACGTGTCACTTTGTCACTCAACTGTGGTTTGTGTTTTGTACATGAAATCCATTTTGCAGTGGAATGCAATGTATGTATGCATGTATGAGGTTTAAATAATCATTTCTGAACTGCAATAAATTTGCTGCAATGATTTCATAAAGAAAAGCCCTTTGAGACTACCAATCTAACTTTTTTTAATTTCAGGATGTTGTTAAGCACCAGTACATTTGTTGCTTTCATGGTTAATCCTTTTCACATCATTATCTCCATTTTTATTTCCTCATCATACTAGTCTTAGCAGTCGTCGCTGGATGTTACGTATGGTATAGGAAAAAAACGAGGTAAAATGTTTTATTCAACTGTGCAGACTAACCGTCTCAGACTGACCATTAACATTGCTTGATCGCTTTCACAGTTTCTCCAGCCTTTTTGTTTAAGTCTCTGTTTTGTATTTGGTCAACATTTTCAGACTGTCTAACTTTTCTCTCCGTCACGTATTACTAAGTGTTGCATGTTGATGTTGTGTGTGTGAGGCTTTTTGGCTTGAAGGATTTTCTCTACCACAGTATCAACATTATCATTAGGGGACCACTTGTAATAAGCCCTTGAAGTACTCTCCTGCACAGAGCCGCCGGTCACTCAGTGGAAAAACTCTGCCCCAAGTGCTTTATGGAGGTTTTTCTTTATCATGTGTTGACAAATGCAATCAGATGTAGAGGTCAGCCCAGTGCAACATGTAGACAATTACGCATGTTCAAGTATTAACTACTAGGTATGCATTGGTTACATTATCTGATTTCTTTATGCACACCTTTCTAAATATAAATCTCCTATTGTTTTCAAGGACATCACATTCACATAACCAAAAAGGAAACACAGTTATAAAATGACATAGAAATTTAATGTTTCATTTGCATCAGCTGATATGACACACCTACTCCCATGGTAAGGTCTAAAGGGTGACGGGAACACTTGGCAACATATTTTCATTATTATAATTATTATTATTGTTATTATCAGCGTTATTTTTTTGTCAAAACAGATTACGATTAATAATTAGAAACATTGACGTAATTTTGAAACTTGATTGTGCTTCATGGCTTAAACCGAGGCTAGATAATGTCTTTGAAATTATCTTCAGCCACAGCACTGTTCAAAGTACTATCTACAGTTCCTGTTTGCTCATAAAATTTTTCTGTTGGCTTGTTTTAGATCTGCAGAATAGCAAGCAGCAGTTGCCCTTGTGACACATTTGAGGAAATACATTTTAGGAAACGCCTTGTGTTTCCTGTTGGGGCAGAGTTATTTCTGTGTAATGCCTTACAGCTCTATAGGAGAGCATCTTCAAAATCATAATTTTAAATTTTCTACAAAGTTGTGAAGCTTAAAAGTTTCACAACTTTTGGCCCATAACATCAGTCGATGAAGTATGATTATAAAAATGTGACCACATTTGGTGGTATTATAGCCACATAAGAAAAGGCTCTTCAGATGTTTTTTGTTTTGAATGAAAACTGAAGATCCAAATGGTACTATGTGAATTTAAGCTTTTTCCCCTCAGTAATATTTCAAATTCTGGCACACGGGGCCACCTGATACGAATATAAAACAGCTCTTGAACCTTTTGTTTGAGTGTAACGGCAAACTCCGTATGCAGTAATGACTGACTGTGTCCATGATGATACTGTGGTGACCGCTCTCAAAAACAAAGGGGTAGTATTTTGTATCTCAAAGTAACACCCACACAAGTTTGCATATTCTGGCTGTAAAAGATTGATGTGTAGCAGCACACAGGGCTATTGCTTGTGTTTGTATGTGGTATTCTTTTGTATATTCTATATGCTGGCGGGTCAAGAGGGTGTTTGCGTTGACTTCCTTGAGTCCTTCCTGTCTGCTGGGTCATACATGAGCAGTAATGTTGACCAGTCATTATTGGATTACAGCTCTCATGAAAACTATCCCGACAATGTGCCTACAAAAGATGGAGAGGACTTACCACTCTCGGTAAGAAGATGGACCACTAAGCACACTTGAACTCACGTATATGCCAAATGAACAGACAATCATGAGATAAGCAAGAACAATGTGTCACACTGTAGGCAGATATTTCCATAACATTTCATACTTTAAGTAAATGCTTTGCTGTATTGGTGCATTAATTTTTTTTCTCCCACTTCCCCTTATTATCCTGAGCTGCTAACTAACCTGTCTGTTGGACAGGTGGGCAACTGCCTGTGTTACTTCTCCTCAAACCCTTCACAAATAAAGTTTACTAACTTTTCCTCCTTTTCACAGCGCATTAGAAGTTTTAACAATTTGTCTAACAATTGTCATTTACACAAGTTTGCTTTCTGCCTTATTTCCTGCAGTAACTTCCTTGGTTGTCCAGTATTGCTTGGTAGAATAACACCTTGAGAGGAGGAACGCCACCGGACGAAGCATCGAATGTACTTGTGCTCTGCATGAGAGAGGCACAGGTTCATGTAACCACCTGAAGATTAGTTTCTGAATGCAAACAAACCTCAGCAAATTGATCTCAGTTCACAGCTTATACTTCAAGTGGCTCCTTTGATAGGCCATCCTAACTTCCTTTTTTTATAATTCAATCTGGAGGTGTTTAGGATACCTTCCTTTACAACATCACAGTAGTTTTTTCTGTTCTGTGATTATGAAGAAATTAGATTTCATGTTTATCAGAAACTTCATCTTTGCACTATGACTGAGCGCAGCCCACACAGTCTATTATAGCTTCAGCTATGCCAATGCCTTGAAACAGGCAAAATCTGTAAAGAATGTTTTACCATAAATGCAGCCGGTTGAATTGCAGTTTGGTTTTATTTAAAATAAAAAAATGTTTGATCCTTGAAAACACACTGGATATACCCGTAACTATTGATTTATATCAAATATTACACCATTTGTGTAATTGAAATGGTTAATTCCCCAGAAAGAAGATTCTATGTATAAAAGAGGGGCTCCTTGCTGATAAATCTGTTTCCAGTCTTGTAAAATTGACTTTCACTGTTAGAGAGAGAGAGAGAGAGAGAGAGAGAGAGCAGTGGGAACTGTAAAACAGTCCCTAGCATAGTGCCTGACTTAAGACATGTTTCATAAGCCTTAATGCAAATAGCCAAGTGTTTTAGCTTGCATGTCAATTGTTTTTGAATTCCATAAATGTTAACGTACTTGTTGGATTAAATTAAGTAAATTCTTAATTGTGGGCCTAGCTTAGTTTAAGGCCTCTAGTAAATCATTTGATATGTTAAATGTTGGTACATTCTTCAGTGTTTCGACTAGGGTGGGTGCTTTGGTGGGGCAGAGGATAGAGTCACACTGAGCTGAAATGAAATGAGCTTATATTAATTGGATGGATAAATACATAAAATATTTCTACATCTTATTAATTTTTGGAGATCGCCCCAGGGCAGTGGTAGGAGAATACTGTTTATCAGTGCCCTGTAGCTTCACCAAATTCAGTAAATTAATTTCCCCTGAAGAAATTCAATTTTTTTTTTCTAAATGATTGCATGCTTGCATTGTATATTTGTCTGTACCGGTGTCAATTTCGTTTGAATATCTGTTGATCCTTCACTACCCTGAAAGAGGAGTACTTGCAGAGGAATACACAGTTTTTGTCTGTGAGTACATAGAGATGTGATCTCTAAATATTTTTGCACTTGCTTGGCAATTTAACTTAATTTATTAAAATAAAATGAGTCATCTGTGGCAGTTTTTATATCATTTTGAGGTGGGAGTGAAACTGCTTTTATATTTGCACTGTCTTTTGTAATCAGTTCGCTAAATTAAACAGTGGACAATAAAGACTCACCAATGTGTTCATAATATACTTTTAATGTACAGATAAACTATGTCTACACAAGTGTTTTTCATGACTTGCTCTCAAGGAATGGAGCATGAAAAGTTGATGAAACTCATTAAAATACTTGTGCCTATCTGTTCACATATATTCTGTTGTTCCATGTGTTATTATGTACGTTATGCATGCTAGTGAGTGAGAACGGAGCCTATGAAGCGCTCCAGAGAAAACTGCTTGTGCTTTTAATATTCAACAAATATTTCAAACCTAATGTATCACACAATTCCAAATCTAGTTTCTGTAGACCATAGATCATTTTATTCATATTACAGAAGAGCCATCTCATGTACAGAATATATGTGAAGAAGCTTCTCCATACTTTACAGCCATAATGTGTCCACCTTAAAGCCTATACCTGTTAAAATTAAACTTTTGGACATGATTTATTAGTTTTTAAACGGATAGTCCCTGATGTCCCAAGTATTTTAATCATGTTTTAAGAAATAAAACATCTTTTAACACTGAAGATTAAAATGGGAACAGTATAGCTACTGTAAACACAATTGAAATACCAACTGTGGGCACAGAGACCAATCAAAAAAAGAATCCCTCTGATGTGATATTTTATATGACAGTGCCCCCTTGTGGATGTGGTACTGGAAAATTGATCAAGTTGACAGACATCAAGTGGTGGAATGTCATAAGTCACAACTACAATTACTGAAATACAGTACCTGTGTTACCTGTGTACAATTTTAAGCTAGTGTTATTTAACTATTCTAATTTTATGCTACTCTGTGCTTACATCACTACATCTCAGATGCAAATATTGTACTTCTTACCTTTTGATTACATTAGTTTTACTGTTGCGTTACTTTATAGATGCAAACATAAGAAATGTCTCTGTCTTTAACAACAACAATAAATTTTCCTAGTAACACTTGTGTATTTTTAGTTACTTTAAAATGCAAGACTTTATGTATAGAGTATTTTTACATTGTGGTACTGTTACTTTTTTTATTCGTTTGAAATGGTAATGTGACAAGGTTTCACTAAAGTCAATGCGCAGCCAGTAACATACAGACCACAGGTTAGTTCGAGCACGCATATACTTAATCCTCCTCAAGGTAAGACGAGATCTGTCCTTCACTGTAACCGATTTCAAATGGTGCTAGAAACAAAAGCAGACTCTGAACACCAAAAGAAATCGGTCAACCTTGGAGAGAGGACATAGAGCTTGAGCTGTCAAAACATCACTGTAGACTGGTGGTTTTGTAGCCCGCTGAGTGGCGCTTCCCAGGTGAAGTTGTCTCAATTCTCTATGTCTTACCACTTCACGGCTGCCTGTTGCTGGTCAGCGAAACACACTTCCCACCCCAAGAACACTGATTTCAAATGGTGCTAGATAGGTGACAATACTCTAAGCCACCATCTGAAACCAGCTTCCAAGGGGGGCACTCCTGACAAGAGAGTTCCTTCAAAGAGTTCCTTATGTGGCATGACACAGCCTTGAGTCTAAAAAACAGTTGAAAACAAAGTTATAATTAGTAGAAAACAGTGGAAAATTAAGTTATTAATAGAAAAAACTGTGAAATTAAGTGCGTAGAAAACTGGAAAATTAAGTTATTAGAAAACTGGGAAATTAAAGTTATTAGAAATAATGGAAAATAAAGTTATTATTAGAAAATAGTGGAAAATGAAATTATTAGTAGAATACTGGAAAATTAAGTTACTAGTACAAAATAGTGAAGAGTAATTAGTAAAATTATCTAATAATCTGAATCTCCATTATAGTGAATGTGGTACGAGCAGGAATCCCTGTGGTGGATTCAGGAAACATTTCAGTTAGAGCAACTGAAACAAAAGGATTTGAGAGAACCAAAGAGTGGCTGAGATGCAGCAGCAGATACACATGGAGCTTGATATCCTCATGTAGCCTACTGTAATTAACAAAGAGCCCAGAAAAGATACTGTGGATGTGAAGCAGTTACTGATATGGCTATAAACCTGAGGGACAGCCCAGATTTAGGAGTCTGCAACACATACAAATGTTTTGATGTTTGGAATTAATACTTTCAAGGAGGCAAAATGTGTCATGGAAGACGGGAGCAGGCATTTAAACAATTCGGGATGCTCGTAGTGTGGGCACATGCAGCATTTTCTGTGCTGGTCGACATTTAACTGGTTACTACACTTTACCTCTCACCTGAAACCGTAAAAGTTTAGGAATGGTACTCAGAGGCATCCACAAAGAGAAATATGTATCTGAAGGAATACTTCCACTGCATGCTCTGTTCACAGATGTGAATTATTCATTAATCAAACACCCACAATAACATGACACAAATATGCATGACATTTAATCACAACAGACTGTTACACTGGTTCCTTCTTTCAGTTGGGAAAGTTGACTTCAATAATATCTGTGAGAGGGACAGAGGAGGGAATCTATTAGACGCATTGTGGTCTTAAATCCCAGTTCATCCGGAGGCCTTAACATTTGCAAATAAAACAATTAATTTTTTTTTTTTTAACAATGCCTCATTGGTCTCCATTACGCTGATTACTGAATTAGACAAAGGCACAGTATGCTTTCAGTGATGTCCGTGTCCCCCTTCTTTTTGATAAGACAGAAATGAGGGTCCAGGGAAGCCTGGCAGCATCTTTGAGACTGGGGGATCACGAATGTAACGCAGTCTGGGATGGTTTAGACTCTCAGGCTCGTGCCCATAAAGAAGTTTGATTCACTGCTCCGGTTCAGGACGGAAAGCAGAGAGGAGGGAGGCAGGTGAAGGGAGAGCGAGAGACAGAGATGAAATGGAAAACCACTGAGAAAGCACCAGAACACACACCCCTCTCTCTCTCTCTCTCTCGCTCTCTCTCTATCTCTTTTTCTCTCTGTCTCAACCTCTCTCTCTCGAACACGCCTACACGACTGATCTGATACTCAATCCAAGCTTCACGGATGTGTGAGGGGCCAAACAAGAACAGACACGAAAAAACGCTGTCACTGTATGTCTTCAACATACAGGCTCACCTGCAGCTATATACAGACGGACCTTCGATGCGTCCTCTCCTCTCTGTTGCTTGGTAGAATAGTGAGGGTGATAGAGCGTTACTCTCCAGCCACTACAAGGGAAAAGCAAGGAAGTGGCAGTCAATCGCTGGCAATGAGAGCCATGACGCAGACACGCAGCAACAATACACTGACAGGGTGGGGCAAGGACAGGTAGTGACCAGTTCACTGACTTGTTGCCAAGTACCTCAACAAAGTACAAAACTACCCAGTCATTTCTTATAACCTTTTTTTCCTCCTGCTGTTTTTACCCTTTGCAAGTGAAACAACCACTGACAGTTCATTGTCTTGCTTCAAAAACCCCCTGTCCCTCCAGAACACATACCTACACACAGTCTGCCTTCATTTCTTAATGTTTACAATGACAACTCCCACATATACTACTTGTCTTTAAACTGATTAAAGCAGAATCAGGGAAACCTAGCCCCTGCCGCAAAACATCAGATGCAATTTACTTTTCAAAATAACAGGAAGGACAAAACAGCTTTTACAAGTCCATTTTTTGTGTTATTGTTGGGGCTGTCTGCGTATGAGGGTGTGTAAGGCAATGTCTGTGTGCATGTGTTTGCATGGTAGCCACAGTGACGGCTCTGATTCGAAGGTGTCTAGTTCCTTCGCCTGGCTGGCTCATCCCAACCCCGTCAATTTTCTTTTTCGGGCTGTTTGTTGCTTGTGTGCCACTGGACCTGTTGTGCAATGCTTATAAAATATTTAAAGGGACAGGAGGCCTTCAGAGAGTGGTCAGCGACATCAGGATGAAACTGTGAAGCACCCCGGGGAAACCCATAAGGGTAATACAGTATCTTCACAGTAAACAGAGAATTAGGAATTTAATACCAACAGTAAATCGCTGAGTGAGTAAACTGCAATAAAATATGCATGGTAAGCACTTTGTATTATTTTGTAGATGTGTTGAAATGTATAACTGTCAGCTACCAGAGTTAAAATACAGCTTGTTGCTAAAAAAGAAACCCATAATGAATCAACTGTCTGGAGGGAAGGTGGAATAGTCTACTTCTGTGTCTGACTGTGCGTCACCTTTATGCCTTGTGTTGACGTGTAGCCTACACAGACTGGTAGATTAACTCTAGTCTTAACTCACTGACGAAGAATGACCTCCCATAGTGGTGAGGTGACTGGGATGGTATCATCTTTCGTGCTGAGGCTAAGAACCTTCTTTGCAATCTTCTTAAAAAAAAAGGAGAAATAAATACGCAGCCTTAGTATACAGTTTGTTATACCATCAGCACATTTAGAAGAGAGAGTGCGAGATGGAAAGGGAGAGAGAGACGCTGACTGTAGAAGCAGGAGCTGCAATGCAGACCACGGGGCAGCCACACGCTCTTGCATCATCTCAGAAATGTGGCATCTTTTGGAAACTGGACTACCAGCCAGGAGAATGAGAAGACCCGATTTCTCCTCCAGGGATTTAAATCCTTCGTGTGGTTGCCACCCTCAACACGAACACAAAAAAGGTATCGAGGAGTGCCAGGCAGAAGATGCTGAGCAGCTCTCCCTCTTGCTGACAGTCCAGAGTGAACAGGAAGGCCTTGGTAACACTTTGTTTTACGGGTCCCAGAGTTTCCTATAATTTCTTAAAAAGGAACTGATATGTTGCAGTAAAATTTACAGGAAGGATCCTGATAGTAATTTGGAATGAACTCTTGGAAAGATGGAGACTGTGTTCTGTTGGTACACTTGCATTTCATTAAGTTGATTAATTGCTGGTGCAGCCTAGAGACTGTGCACAGCAGGTCACATGCAAAAATGTGAAATTTGTCCGCAGCCAAGCATATGGAGATCAAATTAACAAACATTTACTCTGCTTTAAACTGATCCAGTCAATAAGATCTTAACATTTCTTTCAAAGAATTTTTTTCTGGAAAGAAAAACACCTCTTATAAACTTAATCCAACAAACTAAACTGAAATAATTAGTAGTCATTAGTACACATTTCATAGCTCTTTCCAGGAAACCTCCAGGGAAAATATTGGAAATTACGGTACCTGTAAAACATTGCGTTACTAAGGCCTTAGGTTTTCCCATTGCATCATAACAGGCAGGTGCAGACA